CGTTCTCAATATAGTAAAACAATTATCAATTTGATTTAATCTTGCTCTTATAAATTGCACATAATGAGCTTCATAAAAAAGTATATATCTTACCAAGGAATATCATATGTGAATAAGAAATGACACATTTCTAACTTTAGCAGATTGATTAAATATTCTCAGCACAGTGGTACATTAAAGTACAGCCTAAAATTTGGAGATGCCAGCTATAAATATTCCTTATTATGAGATAAGTTCCCTTAAAATGTGCTCTGTTAGGCTCCATAAATATCTCAAAATTCACAGAAATCTAAAAATCTTACTGCATTCTACTGCTAAAAAGGTTTGTGAAAATAGTATTATATTTATTCCTGGAAAAAAATTAAAATTACTCTCTTCACTAAGTCTTCTCTCTAGACTGTGCTTAGTCATTCACAATCAACAATGTATATTTAAATTAAAATACTTTTCTGTATTCCACAAAGCTAAGAAGAACAAGTTTTTAACTAACAAGAGTTGCCATGAAGTATCCAAAAGTATTCCTTATATCAGTATTTTGTCCACATACTAAGCAATTCATAAACATTTGTTGATTTAGTTTGATATCAAGGTTCTATTTGAATAGTACTTGGAATAAAAACTCATTCCTATAATACATTTTGGTGAAATATAACTAATACACCAACATTTAATAATTTAATTATAAGTATCTAAATTAAAAGAGCAGTATACCTGTCTGGGGCAAACAAGAATATAAATACAATGCAATGAGCTGACATGCCTTGTTACAGAGAGTTTAGTTGTGGAAGGGACATGTTTTTAGGATGGTGAGGCTGAAAAGCTCTTCTTTATCTTACAACATGGCATTATTACGGTGGGACTTACTGAAAAGCACAGTAAGAGTGTTGCACAGTTCCCAGACTTCAGAAAGCTTACGCTCAAGTCCTTCATTGCTAAGCACTAAGAACAGGAAACAGTCACAAGCCAGGGTTGGGTCCTAGATGAATGTAAGTTTGGCTCTTGTAAAAGTGGTTCAGTTGCTCCCAGAAGTCCAAACTAAACTTTAACTGCCCAAACTTGATAAGAAATCTGTGAATACCCACTCTGTAAGCCCCAGAGTCCTTTCAGAACAGACTGATGGGCAAAATGTACATGCTGAGTTGGGGAATTCATGCAGTCACCTATACTGGCATTATAAGTTGATTATACTTGGAACCATCTCAGTTCCATGAGAAATGATCTACATAGCTCCCAAGATCATCTGCCTCTAACGATATATATACACACGAAAAATATATGTAAATATTAACATACATGATGATATATACAAGTATATATGTATACATACACATACATGCACATATATATATACACATATATATTTCAGTTCTGAAGTAAATGCTTAAATGTAAATTCCTGTCTTCAGAAGCTAGCAGAAGAGTTTGCTTAGACAACAGCCATATAGTGACTCATCTGTGTTTTCACAACATGTTTCTACCCAGCACCCATGTCTATTTGTAGCCTGACAATAAAGGCCCTATTTGAACCAGCTCTGAACTATCTATCTTTAAAAGCAAGGACGCTGTTCTCAGTTGACTCATTTGAGCTGCCTGTGCTTTTGAAAATAACCCAGTGCACTGACACATTTATGAAGACGTGTGATACAATTGCAGATTATTTCAGGCTTTGCCAATGCTTTTCTACTTAGTCTTGGTCTAGTATTCAGAAAGCAAAATGAAGCCAGAGGACTTCACCTCCTATATGAGCTCACTATACTGGTATCTCTTGAGAGCATTGAAAAAGACTGCTATCATCAACACCCTAGACTATAAATACCATCAAAATGGCAATTCTTATCTATTTTGCTCACCTATCTGTATCCCCAGAACTTAAAACAATGTCTGATACCTAGTAGATACTCCATAAATATTTGCAAAGGAATGAATCGACCTCTGCCATAGACCTGTGAAATGATGTGGGCCTTAGGACCAAATTCACAAAATATTCTCTTGTTCTGATCCCAAGGCAAGAAGACTTCTATCATCAGAGCATCAGAATTTTGTATGGTAAAGTACACACCCTTTCAATCATGAGATGCTCTTGAACATATTAAAACACTGTACTCCCTAGTCTTTAAAATAGATTAAACTATCCATTGAATTTATTAACAATCATTAATTTTCTATCCCTTTTTTCAGTGTTTTTGCCACCCACTGTGACTTCTAGCAGTACCAAATTGTGGCCTAGGAGGACTTCAGCAATGTATTTCTTAACAGAAAAAAGGCTTCAGAAGAATACGTTCTTCAGTATTTTCCTTCACAGAAACCTTTGAAACAATGCATTCACAGTTTCAGTGAAATAATCAATGGAGGTTACAAAATCTATTAATAAAATAATCACATTATGTCTGGAAAAATATACTCATAAGTTTAAATTACTTTGAATTAAGTCAACTCCCAGGAGTAACATCCAGCAGATGGTTATTTTAGTGGACTACTTAACATCCTGATGCACTGAATGCATTTCTTTCTCCCACAATCTTTAGAACCCAGAAAATAGTTAATTCCAGCAGCAAGGCCTTTCCCAGGTAATACATCACAGAGGAGAAAAATAGGTGTGTTAACTACATGTAGGTTACACAACACAGTCCTCTACTTTCCCAAGAACTCACTCATATAGAAATTAATTCACCTTAGCAGGGATCAAAACAGACTTTAACAGGCTTTTTTCCTAGTCTCTGGTGCAGTATTCTAAAGCTAAGTCGTATGAGGATATAAAGGATTACAATTCAGTTCAAAATGGCAGTAAACTAACACCTAGGAAGTATCAAAATGTCCCTAACACAGTGAGAAAAACGTCCATGAAGGGGCCGGCCCGGTGGCGCACTGGATAGTGCGCTGCTTGGGAAGTGTGGCGGCGCTCCCGCCCGAGGGTTCGGATCCCACATACAGACCGGTTCCCACTCACTGGCTGAGCGAGGCGCGGGAGCAACACTGAGGGTTGCGATCCCGTTGCCGGTCCCCGGCCCGGTATGGGGGCAACACTGAGGGTTGCGAGGTTGCGATCCGTTGCCGGAAACGGAAAAAGACAAAAGACCAAAAAAAAAAAAAGAAAAACGTCCATGAAAAAAAATGTTTAATTATCTGCACAAGAAAGTCTCTTTACATTCTGACAGACAGAAAATGGTTTTGTTCTTACCACCCTCTCAAAATCACAGGTCTGTTTTATTTTCTTAACATGGAGCTGCCTGCCCTATTGTCTTCATGCTGGTCACAGGGGGCTTTCCCAGCACTTTCTTCTCCACTTGTTTTCTTGAATGATCCGTTCTAGTCATTATTATGCTGTCCTTTAGATGAAGAATAGCTGCCCAACTTGGACAGAGATCAGATTTCACAAAAATTCTATTACTGATACAATTTAATTTTTTTTCATTCCTGTCTTATGAATGAAGAAAAAGGGGAAAAAACACCTTTGGTTTCTACAACCTGTGCTGCAGGTCTCTCTCACTGGTAATACAATGTGATTTTTAAAATGTTAATTACTTCACTAAGAATTTGAATTTTCAGGTCCTCTTCAAAAATCAAAAAAATGAAGCAATATCGGGTACACATTCGCATGGAAACAAGCAAAGCAGCTTCGTAACTGCCTTTTTCCAACAGAGCATGAGTTCTAAGTCATCACAGGCCCATACTCTGAGGAAGCCCAAGGTAGCCATGTGGAAAAGACCTACAGAGAGTCCCCAGGCCCCAGCTCTGGACACCCCAGTCTAGGCACAGACTTGTGAGTAAAGAAGCCGTTAGGCAACTTCAACCTGCGCTGCCATCCGAATGCAAGGGTGTGAGGGACCAAAGAGATGAACTACTCAGCAGAGTCCACCAACCACCAAAGCCAGGAAAGATAAAAATGAAAAGTTTGTTTCAGGCCTGTAAGATTGGGGGTAATATGGCATGCAGCAATAGATAAGGACTAAAAGATAGACGTGCACTTAACAAGTTAAAATATAACTGTTTAATTTCTCCCTTTTTACTTGGGTCAGTATAAATGTTATAGATCGTCTTCATCTCATTTTTGTATTTAGGCAGAAATCTAGAATGTGTATGTACCCAGAGAACAAAACAGAAGTGGAAGAAAAGCAGTCCTTTGGAATCAGATGCATTTTTTAAAAAATACTCTGGCTGGCAGCACTTAATGTCCATAGGTTAAACAAAAGTAAATAGTAAAGCAGAAGGACAGTGTTTGAAAAGATCTTAAATCTGGTCCTTTTCACTAGGGAACTTCAGTCACTACTCTGTAGTGAATAGTAGCGAAACGCCTATTCTTTTTTAAATGACTGGATCACCTAAAAGTAGTTTTGTACATATTTTTCTGATTGAGAGGATCTAAAACATCTTTTCTATCACTAAAACTTTAGCTATTATGAAAGCAAACACCATCTGCAAAGTAACCAACAAATTATGGTTACACTTAATTGTACAAAATAATTCAAGCCAGAGTCTTTAAAGTTTAATGAGAGAAGGGTCCAGGTATAGGAGAAGCAACTCTTGATTTGTATTCTGCAGGCAGACATACAAATCCAACCTTGAGCAAATCACTCAATTGTTTGATGACTCTATTTGCTCATGTGTAAAATTAAGCTAATCATGCATTCCCAAAAAGGGTGTTATCGTTAAGTTTAACAGAATATGCTCTGTATAGTCAAGATAATGGAAGATCTAAACCTTGTGCACTGCACAAAATTAAAACAGCTGATACGCTTTTGCCCAAACAGAATTGTATATCCTAATTTCCTTCTCTTCTTTTCCCCACTTGTGACTCAAGCCAGATTTCATCGAGCTATTTTTGTAACTACTAAAATGCTGGAAATACAGCAGCAGGCTAGAAGCAAAGTAAAATGAAACATCCAGCAAAAGAAAGAAAATCACGCTGAGTAACTGAAAGGCCATCTGCTTCTAACTGAGCTATAGGGGTGAGGAAGGCAATCTGGGCTGTACTATTTGTGTCCTCCCCAAAACCATACCCACCTGCATGTTGTCAGTGGCATCCCCGAGCAGTCCTCCAAACGTGATAGCATTAGTTACAGTTGCCAGATAAATGAAGAGAATTGCTGAAAGAGCCTGAATATTTAAAGCATCATAAAAATCACTGGCAAAAAATGGTGCTTTCCTCTTTAAGTCCTTAATTAGTCCACCACAGAACCTGGGCAGGGAGAAAGCAAACATGTGACTAAATGTAATAGAAATTATCATCAAATTAATCAAGTGATAACTCACTAAACCTCAAAGAATTTGTACTTAAAATACTTCAATCCATGACAAGATTCTACTTAACCACCTAAGATGAAACTAGAAAACTGTGGAGAAATAAATTTTCTTCTCTCTCTCTCTTTTTTGGTTACCAAATTAGGTGTCACATTCCCAAAAGACCAGCCAGCTGGTCTTTAGATAAATTAAGGTGGACTGTGTAGATAAAGTAAAATGTTTTACTGCTAACGAAAAGCATCCAAATATGGGAGCAGATTATAGAAGGGCCTTGATAATCTTGCTCATAGCGTCCTTTCCACCCTCATTCGTTCATTCATTCATCCCACAAATGTTTATTGAGCACCTGCCATATGCTCACACTCTGAAATTATTCCAGGTCCTGGAGATATAACAATGACCAGCACAGGCAAAAAAGCCCTGCCCTTATGGAGTTTACTTTCATGGGGGAAAGGGGTGGACAATAAGCAAGATAAATAAGTAAATGCATGGTGCTAAAAATAGAGGAAAAAATTAAAGGGGAACAGGGTTATGTAGTACTAAAGGGGTGGGTGAAATTTTAGATAGGGTGCCTAGAACAGTCTTCTGAGAAGGTAACTTTTGGTTACAGACCTGAAGGAACTAAGGAGGAAGCCATGCAGGTGTGTGATGGAAGAAGGACAAGTTGAGCCCAGGACAAGTGTTAGCAAGTCAGAGAACTGACTTATGCATTGGCCTAGTCACCCTCCCAACCAGACCTCCCATCTCAGCCTTCCTCATGCCACTGCTTCTGCCTAGAATGGCCTCTTCCAAAGCCCAATGGCTCTCTGAGGTCTGGCCCCTGCACTCATAGCTGAGATTTCCACTAAGGGCTATCCTACTTTACCAGGATTGTCTACTACCTGAGTACCTGCTAAATGGAAGCTGCACTCAGTGCCCCTCTTCAATTTTCTTGCTATGCACAGGGCTGTGCATACTACCAGGGACACTGTACTCAATTCATTTATGAAGGTGAAATATGAAGAATAAAATACAGTCTGATTAGATAAAAAGAATTAAATCCCAGAACTCATATTTGTATAAAAGGAAAAGGATATTCCTAATGGAAATAATTTTTAAAGAACTATTCATGAAAAAAAAAGTGCGGGGGGGGGGCAGAAGATTTTTTGTTCTCTATTCTTTAAGAATAAAGGGGAGGGAAATAATTACCTCTTAATTTGGGAGAGAAACCCAAGTGAGTCCTCAGGGAAAAGAAATAATTTCATTTCATTCAGATTCGACTGGATATCTAAATAACATACTTTTTACTTTCAAAGACCCTGCAATATTTTTAAAAAGTGATATCATTATAAAATGAGTATCATACTTTAAGTTTTACTTAACCCAAAATGAATGGAGAACCTAATAGTGGAGAAGCAAGAATTATGAAAAGAAATTAACTGAAGCGATCCAGGAAACCTGAATTTCCAACTGCAGGCTAAGGAGACAGAACAGTGACCTGCAAGTTACTCACTTCTAGAACTGTTACCTACTTTAGAGTAAACATACAGGTGAGAGATGGAATCATGAAAGCCAAGAAGGCTGGTACATTAGTCAGTGCTCCTGCCACACAAACTCACCTGCCATCTCTCCGATCCTCTCTGTAGAATCCCCTCAGTCATTCCACTCCAGTCACACTAGCCTCGATGCCCGTCCTGCCACACACCAGGAACTCTGTGTCTCCCACACCCACACAGTCTCCCACCTCCTTCAGCGCTTTCCTCAAATTCTCTGTAAGGCCTTCTCTGACTACCCTGTCTAAAGTTGTAACATTCTTCCATTGCAAAAGTCTCTATTTCTGCCTTATTTTTCCTCATAAAACTATCACTACATTTATTTATTTGCTTATTGTTTGTCTCTGCCACTACCCATAGGGTAAGGGGTTTAATTCACTGTTATACCCTCAGTGCCTGTGACTAAAAAGTACACTATGAATATGCATTGGCTGAACAAATGAAGAAACCAGTGAATAAAATGCTGATAGAAAGATAGAGAGAAATTTAGATCTAAGGAGGACCTCATCATCAATGGCAAATGGATCTGTCGGTTACCGTCCAGTTCGCTGCAGTTCTTCACAATCCCCATGTCCTCCTCCTCCGTGTCCTCCATCGTGGGGCGTGTCCCCATTCATCTGAACATTCTCTCCACCTGAGTACATATTCTTTCTAAGAAAGAGGACAGAGCCCAAGAGGTTATTAGTTTATTTTATTCATTTGCTTCTTAGCTGTATCATGAACTGGCTCATGGAGAGATGAAGTAAAAACCCTTGGTGAGAAAGGTCATTATTTCCTTCTGCCATCATAACAGACAATTCTTAAAGTGTTATACTTAGAGCCAAGACAAATAACTGGATGAATAGGAAAGTTAAATGAATTGTACATCTTATAAGAGGTAAACTGTCTCACCTGGAAAATGATAGATTCCAGAAAATGATTTCTCAACGATCTCACCCAATTTCTTAACCTCGTAAACCTACAAGGACTCATCTTGAGTAAACTGATCTTTCCACATGTACAGGCAGTCCACAAAACATCCCCAAAGAATGTCTATGATGCATTCCAATACTATAATCTGAGATCTCTAATTTATAATCACTGAAGAACATCACAACATATAACATTTATTTTACAGTGTCAAGGAAATATGAAACCAAGGTACCTAAGTGACTCATTTAAGATAAATACGTCAGGTTAAATGGGAACAGGAAAATATTAGGGCAGTTGCCTAACACTGCTTCCTTTTCAAAACACAATCTCCTTCTCATGGTTGTCCCAGCAACTGAAAATTCCCAACTGCCTGATAATTTACCTTTTGTCAGAAGATGGAAGACTCTTAGGAGGCTCTATCCTGATTGCTGGATCCCATTCCCCAGGTGGAAGGACAATGACTTCATCAAGGAACTCATCAATGCCAGCAATCAGATCATGCCTGTCTTTTGCTTTATAAGCAATGTCATGGAACACCTAAAGAATAGTAAGAGATGTGCTGATCCAACCAGAGAACTCTCTACACGCCTCACACCATGTCAAGCCTGAAGAATGCAACCCATAATCCACCATGATACTACTATACCCATGCACTCACAGTTCCTATTATTCAGCCTGCTCCCAAATATTAAGGTATTCAGATTATGATCTCAAAGGATAGGGGTAGTGGCATAAGAAAGCAGCTGTGTTTTTATGTGTTTTTTTCCTATCAATATTGTAAAACAACATTCACTTTCAGCTCCCACTGATATGTACCACTATTGACACAGTTGCTGTGGAACCAGCTGAAAATGGTTTGGAGCAATATACTGACGAATCATTCTGAAATAAAAACTACTGGGACAAATGATTGCTGATAATCCAAGAATAAAAATTTCAAGCTGAGTGTAAAGATCAGGTTAAAACCCAAACACTGCAGTTCTCAAACATACAAATAATGTAAATTATTTTTTTAAAAAAAAAAGAGTTACATTGGCAGCCCATAAAGCAAAGGGTTTATTTATTTATTTATTTATTTATTTTTTAAAGCGAAGGGATTTAACAGTTGAGCATATGTCTGTCTTTTAAGAAGGCAACAACTAAACCATCCAAGGCAGCACATGCTTCACGTCTTTTATGCAAATCTCCAAAGAAGGATCTTCCAGAATATACATAATTCTTTCTGTCAGTCATTCCATTCTTCTAACTAAGCTGATGATCTGAAAGTTCTTTACACATAACCTAAGTCGTTCATACTTCATAAGTCAAATTCTTTAGTATCCAGAAGAGAAGATGGCCCCTATTCAACACCCTTACCTATTCTTAAAGACTACTAAATCTCTTCTCCTGGAAAAGAATTTTTTAAAGTTATCAATCAAATAACATTTAATTGGTCCAGGGGTTGTGGGATTGAGGGGAGGGCAATACAAAATGCCAGCATGTGATCTGTGGAAGACACAGCCATTCTCAATCCCATTTTCTCTTGCTAACTCCCACTGGAGAAGCTGGAAAGTCAGAGATTCACCTTCCCAGCCACCCCTGCAGATAAAGATTGAAAGTTCCAACCAATGAGATATAAGAAAAAGGCTGCCCAGGAAAGCTTTAGAATACCTGGTAAAAGAAACTGACACAGCTAACATTACCCACCTCCTTCTTCCTACCTTGAATACAGATGAGATGGCTGGAGCTTACTGTAGACAATGTTGTTTTAAGTATTGATGGGGTGGGGAAACATGCTATCTTAAAACCAACAAGCAAGAGCCTTAGCTCTTGATTTATCACTTAATAATAAACCACCTCCAAATTTCCTTTTATGTGAGAAAAATAAACCCCAAATTGTTTAAGCCACTATAAGTCTATCACTTGCAGCCTAAAGCATTCCTAATTGATACATCTGAGGAGGAACAATTTTTTAAGAAAAAGAAATTATGAACATATTAAAATAAAGAAATGAACTCACTAAGAAGAGGGAAATAAATGTTCCCTTGAGGGAAAAAAAAAGCAGCATAGCTCTGCATCAATGCTCTCAGTCCCAGAATAAAGTAAATATATGAGTAATCACCACATAGGACTTCCGTAACTAAGGAGAAAAGTGTCCTATACTCCACTTAACACATGGAAAAACTGACAAATCAAAGCAATGAAGCAAAAATAAAACATTTGGGTAAATAAGAAACTAGAAAGACATAAAAGTGGAAATTATGATCCTACATTCTAACTAGTATTTCTCCTACTGTGAGACTAGTGCAGAGTTTTATCAAGTCTAAAATGCATGTAACAACATACAAGCTGTTATGAGAGGGAATGAGGTCATAATTCTAAAATACTAGATACTCTGCAGTAATGGTTGCTAATACACTTTAGATGTATATCGTTTCTTCCCACAAAATAAGAAAACCATAAAAACACATACTTTCTAATACTCAAGAAAAAACATATTATCCATTTTATTATGCATTATTTCATAGAACCAATCAGATCTGAAGTAATATAGTATATGGACATTTAAATTCAGAATTAATATAGTAACATTTTAAGAGATAACTTTTAAGTTAATACAATGACCTTGAACTTTTTACAGCATATTCAACATATATTATTTTTAAAAATTGAAAATGTTTAGAAAAAGAAAAAAAATGTTTTATTCCAGTATAGAGTTTAGAACACAATACAAAACAAAATGCATGCCTTACTTTTTGAAAACTGTATACGAGTCAGCTCATTTGCCACAAATGACTGTATCCCATGTTGTAAAAGAAGCCTGGTAACCACATAATTCTAAATGAATAAATTGTGATAGCCAATTCACAGTATGAAAACCACACAAGTAGGACATTCACAGAACCCCATCTTCCTGATTCCCTACCTCGTCAGACATCAAGGTGGCAATGGCTCTGCCAATCTCATGGTAGGACTTGGCTTTCCCCTTAGGACCTAAGAGAATGAACAAGAACCTAATGGAAAGGGAAAGAAGCAAAGGCTATAACATACATGCCATCAAACTTAATATACGTAAAACTGAGACACGTTTATTTTAGTTCATAAAAGGGGTAGGTCTAGAGTTCATCTTTAAAACAAAAGTAATATTCTTAGTAATATGAAATGAAGAATACTCTTTCACACTATTGCAAAACACAAATTGTTGTTCACTATATTTGGAGGCAAAGGAGACTTTAGCAGGATACCTGGGAAGCTTCTTCAGTGAGCAGGAAAGTTTCACTTTTTGAGTTATTCAATCTTTCTTTTTTAAGCTTCCTTCTGTCTCCATTTCTACTGACTTTTGGAATCTTTGGAGCAAACCCATTAAGCAAAATAACTAGAAAGACTTAGTACATCCTCAGATTTCTCTGACTTTTCCTTATCCAATACAGGCAATGACAAATGACCCTCTCTGTACTTTTTAAGAAATGTTCTACTCAGAAGTAACTGAGAGCCAGCAAAAATCAAGTTTTCTACAAGTAAGCCACATGCTGACAGCCAAAGTAAGGAAAGAGAAAAATGAGATAAATTCAAGATAAAGCATCACTCACAGACAGTTAAAATTCTTTTGTGGGTGTCCTCATTTTTCTTTCCAAACATTTTTTTCATAATGCACAAGACACTGCTTCATGGCAAATAGGTCATGAAACATGCAATAGTGAACATATCCCCACCTAGGTTCCCCTCCTATCATGTTGGAAGGAATCCCTCACTGATAGCACCGGCAAAGAAGCATGTCTCCATTGGAGAGGAAGCAGCCTAATGAATAAATGAATAAGAAAAAATATACTGACACTGGATAAATCCCTGCCTTGATACTGATCATGTGTTACCTAACAGGGAGGTAACAAGGACAATAAGAATGATAACGTCATATGTTTTCACAGCTTTTCAACGCCTGCAAAGCATTTCACATTCATCGCCTTATTTAAATTTCCATGTAATCATTTGCAATAAGTATCCTATTCCTGTTTAATGGTGAGGAAACTAAGGCTGCAGGATATTAATGAATGAGCCCATGGTCTGTGCCTAGCAAATGACAGAAAGCAGATAGATAGGACTTCTTACCTCCTATTCTTTTCACCACACAATTCTGCCTAATTTTACCTGCCCAATTGATACATCAGGTTTGTGATTCAACAAAGAAAAACTATCCAACAGTGACTTCCATAGGTCATTCTGGGGAAAAAACTTGTGGATACTTAGCAAGGGACAAGAAATCTTAGGTAAGATATTATGGTACCAAGAATGGTTTAGCACTTTCCTTAGCAGAATTTATTTATTTATTTATTTTTACTTGTTTACTTATATTCCTAACTTTAAATACAAAAGGATTGACAGCAGGTAGTCTACAAAATGTTAGGGACTGTTCCAAAATGCCCTGAATGTATAACTACTTTTTTTCATTATAAAATTCAACTCAAAGGAGACAGGGGAAAAAAAACAACAGAGATTAAGAATGTAAAAAAGTTTCCGAAAGTTTGAGTACTCATATTTTATACCAGAAAACCTTAAAACCATTCAGTCTTTATTTGCTTAAAAACCAGTTCTGGAGTCGGAGCAGCACATTCAGTTTCAAGCGTTATCATAGTAGATGAAATAGCAAAAGCGATCAGCAGGCACAAAGGTCTGTTCAAGTACGAAGAAAGTCATTATTAGAATTGGATTTTAGTTCTTCTAACACAGAAGTTCAATTGATACTGGAAACTTTCTTTCTTTGAAGCTGTCCTCAAATTACATACTACTATATATGGTATGATAAAGTGCTTCTTTATAATAGTAAAATGTATTTTCTAAGGGAACTGATCACTGATTTGAGTGCAACACATGCAAAAAATATTTGACCACTAAAGCAAAATATAAATCTCATTAAGAAACACTGGTATCGGTCATATTGCCAATTCTATTTGCCTGTCTGCAAACAACCAGCTGTCAAGCAAGACAATAGGGCATAGTTTTAGGCAAAAAGGGGCAGATGCTGTGTCACAAGAGAAAATATCTAACACCTGGTTCCTTTACTTAGTGCGTTTTAAATAATGGACTTCTTCTGCCTGCCATTTTTATTATTTCAATGTATCTTAACATTAACTTTTCAGTAAAGAATAATATCCAAAATCTTTCCAGACCACTCTGTGCCTCCTCCTACCTCTCCCTAGCACTTCCATCATGATTATAGTTTACAAACACACATTATCAAAGTGTGTTTATCAGCTGACACAAGTTAATTATCAGGATGACTATATGACAACAAAGCTAAAATACTGTCTTGTTAGTGAGAAAAACACTGTCAATCACTAATAGTCCTCATACATAAACTTTGTCAGATGAAGGCAACTATTCAAGAGCTGATAGAATAATGGGGACTCCAGTTTAAATACCCTGAGATGAGGGCATACATTTTCTATAAAATATTTATTCCTTGGTCTCTGCTAAATACTTAGCACCAATGAATGAATGGAAGCAGCAGATCAATGGTGTCTACAACATATATTCTAGCAATAAACCCAGTATATGAGAATTATATTGGTTCAATAACCTACATATAAAGGTGTTATTCCTCTTTCTTGCGTAATGTAATTATTTTTTAAAAAAGATACTTCTTTATTAATGGAATATCACCAAGTGCCAAGTAGAAACAACATGGTGACGTATTACTTAAAATGTTCACATTACTCCAGTCAGGAAAAATTCAGTAAATCCACCTCCTCAAAATGATATGCAGGGCCGGCCCGGTGGCGCACTGCTACAGTGCACCGCTTGGGAGCGCGGCGGCGCTCCTGCCGAGGGTTCGGATCCCACATACAGACCGGTTCCCGCTCACTGGTTGAGTGAGGTGCAGACGCAACACTGAGGGTTGCGATCCCGTTGCCGGTCCCGGTCCGGTACGGGCGCGACACTGAGGGTTGCGATCCATTGCCGGACACGAAAAAAAAAAATGATATGCAGAGGGAAGTTGAACATCTACAAGCAGCAGGAAACACCTCAAGTCAAGAATTTCATCAGTAGGAAAGGAAACCCTTAAGAAGCCTCTAATCTGGGCTGCATAATGAAAGGGAGATGAGAGATCTGAGAAAACTGACAACACAGAGCAACCCAGCAAGTTGAAGTTCCTGCTGCCTAAAACGTGTTCTCTCCCCTTTAACCCTCAAAGAAGCAAAAGCTGTTACAACTTTTATGACCAAAGTACATCCTGTCAAACTCAGCTTTTATAATGTATTGAAAACTCCTCTCACGACCCAAGCTCTTTTTAGTCAGTGGACAGATGTTATTTTTAACCAGAAGCTTTTTTCTTTACTAACAAATTAGAGTAAACATCACATTTGTGTGGCTAGAAGGGCACAGCCCATGTCGGCAGCTCAGAAAAAAATTAATTTATTTTACTAAGTCATTTTTATTCGTTCAGAACTAAATAAAAGTCAGAGTTAGAATTTTTTACAGTGCTTAACTGTTTCAAGAATCTTCATGAGGCCCTTTTCTACTTTTGTGAGATTTTTCATGTAACTAAATATGCTTGGGGAGGATGCCTCTAGCATTCTTCACAACATGAAGAAGAACCAGATGATCTGTGTCTGGAATCAAAGGCCTACACTCACATTCAACAAAATAATTATAGGCAGAAACAGAGTATAATATCAGAAAAGGAGACAGCCTTCCTAATCCACTCAATCTTTACAGAAAGGATGTGCACACCCCCCTTCCTGATACATCACAGCTATTTCTAGAATAAACTCAGCATGTAGGAATCTTTTACTCCCTTTCTCTCAAAACAACAGGGAATCAAATAACTCATTATTCATACGTAGCAGCTTGGAAAATGCAGCTAAACTGTAGCTTCTACGATAGATTCATGAGGACCACAAACGCACCATAACCAACCACATTACATGCGGTAAACGACAGCTAGCAATTAGATTTGTGGACATCACAGAATTGAACCAGCAGGACTTCCATCCCAATTCTTTTAATAGTTTTGACAATTAAGCACAAACTACTTCTTCTGGCTAATAATTATTTGTAACATAAAATATATATTAACACAGTGAACTAAAAGAGTAAACATTCTAATTTTTTAGGAGCTAGAGCTTACTGAATAACCATTCCCCTTAATTTGCAAATCAATACCAGAAGAGGACAAACTGATCCAGGGCTTTTATTATTCTTCATGGAAGAACCCTAGAACATTTTATTCCAATCCATTCTAGATATCTCCTTAGGCTCTCCCTAAACGTCTGGCCCCAGAGTCAGAAATCTGCAATTCTATTTTCAGCACTGGTAGTCAATCTTCTCTTTGCCTCCATCTCTCAACTGTAAAATAGTAATAAGAATATTCATCCCCTTTGTAATTCATAAATATGAGTGAGTGGTGGACTCTGTGGATAGATATAAGAAGACAGCAAGCAAAGTGCTTGCAAGATGCTAGGAAAATCATAAACATATCCTACCAAGTCACCAAAGATCAAAGAACGGAGTTTGTTTGCTTTCACATGAATGTCAAGAAGGGCCTCTATGTAGACAGACTTCCACCCAGTTGATAGCCATCCAGCTGCAACTGGAGACTAAAACAGATCAACCAAGGAACAGAGTAAATAGTGAAACTTGTGAACTCTACACAAGAAAGGGGAGCCGCTAGATCCACATATCCTAAAAGGTGCATGGTAGTAATACCATTTATTAGAAACAACAACACTAATAATAATGATGATGATGATAATAACCTATCTTTCCTCCACCTTTAAAAGGAACAATGACCATGAAAAGATATGTACAAAAAACAGACTTTTCAGGTCTCCCTGCAGTTTAGCAGAGTAGCATGCACGTTAAAGGACATTGTGGAATAAAGATGTAGTCCTTCACAATGACTATCACATTCCTTGTAGGATTTCCTTTATTGGATTTAACAGGATGCAGCCATTGTAAATAGCCCTACATTACTCACACACTCACAAAAAAAGCTAATTAGACTCTCTACTCCATTATTACAACTTGCATTGGTTTCGAGAACAGCAAATGGATAGAACTATTTCCTGGAAAAACGTTAACATGCAAGGATATATTGTTCAGATAATTGCACTGAAATAGTTTTATGATATTATTGAATTACATTCCCTTGAATTGCTTGGCTCCTTTTGTTAATTCAAATGATGCTGTATTTCACCTCTAGACTAGCACTACCCTTCAACAGGGAAGAAAAAAAAGAGAATAAGCCAAACAGGAGCAGATGATAAGAGGGACACAAAAATGGTCATGATTTGCTACTCAATGCATGCGTATTATTGTTAAATAAAAAGCCTTTTAAAATATTATTTTTGTAGCTTCTAAAGAAAAATAGTAATAGAATTGAGAAGGCAAGAGCAATTTTCTTTAACACTTTTTGGCATTTTTTTTCTTTCAAACCCCAGTAAAGTTAGTCCAAATAGACATAAATAAAGCCATAGGGGCACTGAGCTGGACTTCAGCCATTATCTGAGTTAGCTGTTTGCTGGATGATTGCTCAGCTAGAACCGCAAGGCTCTGCTGAAATGTGTTCAAGCAAAAAGCTAGGTTACAGAAAACACAAATCATGATAATTCCAGTAACTGAATAAGTTATGATCGTCACCTTAAAACTGCTATTTGTCCAATGACTGCCCTATGTATTATTCCTATTTTAAGTGTCTACAAAATATAAAAGTAGGTTTTAAAAAAACACCTGTATGATCAGGAAGAATGTTCTGTAATCTATGAATTGAGAGGCCTTAGAGTAATTTTCTCCCAATTTTCCTCCTAACCTGGCTCCAAACAAACTTTCAGTCTCCTTTCACTATCAGTTAATCATGCCCAGACAATGTGAGATGGCTAAGGAGGATTCATAGCCCTTCCTGCTCAGGGGAGGAAACCTAAAGAAGAGAAAAAGTCACTAGTCCCTGCCAATATTACAAGCTTCTCCTTAAACTCTTCTTCAGCACAAGTTTAAGTGAAGCATTAACTTCTGTTTAACTAAATGCACTCCACAAGTCAAGCTTCCTAACTCTACTGAGCTTGGTTTCAAAGGGAGATTAAGAGGATGTCCTGAGGTCCTGTACAGTGTAATGAATACATGATTGTAATAACCGTAATATGCTCCCATTTAATGTATAATATGTATGTGGCATAATACACAGAACAGTAAAGTGTATAAATTTAAGTGCACATCTTAATGATGTTTACATATACATATATATACATTTAAGTATTTATGCATGTATGAACCCACTACCCATTTTCTGATAAAACATAAAGCAAATGAAAGCAACTATGACCTCTAAACCATTTGCCAACTGTATGATGTTGGACAAGTTACTTAAACTCTCAGACTCAGTTTCTTCATCTATAAAATCCAGATACCTGTAGTTTGTATTCTAAAATACTATTGTAAAAATAATATTTAATAATATTGTAAAAAAAATTAAATAGAATAATCTATAAGAAGAAACAAGTGCATTTCTCAATTATTTATAGTTGCTTTTATTGTTATTACTATACAAGTGCCAAGCAATTTGATAGCATAAAAATCAGACATAGCCATTATTTAAAATTAAATTTCTCCAATGGCTTGCACTGAATATATCCTATGTATCCTCATTCTACTGATTCTCTAGCATGAGAGGAAGGAGATTTCCCACTCAACACACTGTAGACCCCAGCAGGTTGGAGCAGCTTACCTTGTGGGCACAGGGACCTCAGTCAGGGCACCCAGCATGACAGCCTGCTGTAGCCGCACAAAAGCAATGAAAGGAGTATCCAAGAAGTCAACCTCCCCAACAAGCACATTGGAAGCTTCTGCATCACGTGGCAGTTTTTTCATGAACTTATTCTTCAGCTGCGTGGGAAGAACCAAGAAAACTCCATTTATTTCCAGAGAAGGGAACAAGAAGAGACACTACATGCATTTCTCACAGGAAATTCCTTCATATGAGTATGAGTCCACATGCAACATGCCCTATTATGTTTAACCATTTTATTATAATAAACATTTATCTGTACCTTGATTCCAAAAAAAACTATTGAGGGTATAATTACATGGTTTAGATTAAAAAAAAAAAAACAATGTATAGTATAACTCCATTTATTTGTTCACTCACTCAATGAAAACTTGTTGAGTCTATTACGAGCTGGGCAATGATCTAAGCAATAGGGGTACAGGGATGGATGGACTAATTACATGCTCTCCTTAGGCTCATAGTCCCATATGGGAGAAATAACATGTGATTTAAAGTAGAGATAAGTACTAAAAAGGAAAAATAAAACAGGTATTATGTTAGACAGGATGGTCAGAGAAGGCCTCTGACGAAATACGTTGATGTTGGAGTAAGGGTAAAAGCCATGTGAAGATCTGGGCAAAGAACATTCTAGGCAAACAGAATGGCAAATGCAAAGCCTTTGAGACAGTAAGGAGCTTGGCAGATGGAAAAATATTAAGTCAAGTGTGCTGGGAGCTGAAGGAGCAAAGGAGAGAAAAATAGCAGCAAAAGAAGTTGCATAAGTAAGGGGGGACAGGTTGTAAGATCATAAAGACCACAAAGAGGAGCTTTGAAAGTTTTAGGTAGGAGCTGCCTACCAGAAGTCAAGAAAGACAGGGCAGGGGACATAAATTTAGGAGACATCATCATGTGAACAGTATTTAAGGCAATGGGGCAGGATGTCATAATCCTGGAAGTGAGTGTAGATAGAGAAAAGGGGTAAGATCTATACCCTGGGCTACTAAACTTTTTATAGGAATAGGAGAAGATATCAGCAAAGGACACTGAAAAAGAGCAGAGAAAACGAGGTAGAAAACCAGAACTTCACCAACAGCCAAGTGAAGAAAGGGCTCCATAAGGAAAGTGAATCAGTCAAGTCACAGGCTACTGGAAGCTAAAATAAGATGAACACTAAGAACGGACCATGGCAAGAGGGAGGTGCGGGGGGACCTTGACAAGAGCCATTACAGTGGACACCAGGGTACCAAGTAAAGAAAGAGAGGTAAGGAAGTAGAAACAGAGAATAGAAGTCAATATCTTGAGAAATGTTGCTACCAAGAAAAGCTGAAAAATGCGAGGTTGGTGGAAGAGGGCATAAAATAGGGGATTTTTTTTTTTAATGATTGTTATTACAGCATTTTGGAATGTGAATGAGAATGATCTAGTAGAGACAGATTAATGCTGCAGGAGAGATAGGGGACAACTACAAAAGCAGCTCAAGAAACTTTGAAATATTGAGAAGGAACAATACCCACATCACATGTAGAAGGGTTAGCTTTAGAAAGGAACACAGAGAGCTTATTAATCCTAACCAGGGAAGGTAGGCTGTATGGGCACAAATATGGGTGATGTGAGAGACGGGGGGGGGATGAGGAGGGCTTTCAAGGACTTACATTTTTGCAGTGAAATACAAGTGAATTGAGCAGAAGGAGGAGGGAGGCGTGTAAGGGTTTGAGAAGAGAGAAGGTGTAAAACGGTTTTCTTGGAGAGTGAACGTTGCTTAACACAGTCACTCTGAAAGCTTATCTCGTAGACATTCTTTCATACAGTTCAAGGAAAATATTTCAATAATCATCAAAGGTTGGAGATAAGAACTTTGCAAGACCATACAGAAGACACAGATGTTTAATACATACTTATCATCCAATATAAATGTCCCTTCCTTCAAGTCCAAAAGTACCAGTGAACTTAATATGTTCTGCTATGGATTACTACTGAGATGGGGGTGGCAGGCATGAACCAATTTTCTCCATTAATGTAGAGGTTATACCAGCATTTTATCTTCCACTTCCATTTGAGAGTTTTTAATTATGGAAAATAAGTGACATGAGAACTCATCCCTAAAGCTCCATCACCCTCACTAGCATTTTTACAAATTTTTTCCTTTAATTTGGTACTACATATAAGAAGAAAGCTGTGAGGAAAAAAGCAAGGAAGTTAGAGCTAAGAAATTAGTGGAAACCAAAAAAAAAAAAAATCAAGGTATATGTTCTCAGATGCCAGGAACATGACCACTTCTAAGCAGCAAGGAATTTTCCAAAGTTTCTACCATTAATCCTCCAAGAAATGCTAATATTAAAAAAATTCTTTTTACATTTTACAGATATGAAAATAGCAGCCATGAGAAGGATCAGAAAATATCAAGTTGCCAAAACTGCAATTATCGCCTAAGGAAGTCGTAATGAATTATTCTCTATAACACAGAGCTAAATGTGGTGTATGGCTAAGTGATCCAAAAACATACAATATAACATTGCTACATCAATCTTCCTCAGACTTTTTCCAGAGATAGTTCTCATTACCAACATGGAACCCAAAACTCTTTAATAATCTGATTTTACCTCCCATTCTCCCTAGCAGACTCTTTGCTGTAGGTAGGTATTGATCTGGCCAAAATCCCTCTCTGTTTTATGTACTTATGCTCCCACACTCATTATCAAAAATTGTCATTTACTCATTTCTTTCTTTTCTAAACATTCTTCAGAGCTCAGGACAAGACTTTTTACCATCTCAGCTCACTTCCTTGGCAACTTCAGAAGTGCCCGTTTCTGAATCGCACTTTTGTCAAGGTTTAAGTCTTTTCCCGAGTTTTGCAGTGGGTAAGAGCAGTTTATTTCCCATTGTACTAAGCATTTAATTTGTACATAATTCAGCTGTAACAAATATAATAAAAGGAAGGAATGAACTCTATAGCAATAAACATAAGACCTAAAGACCATCAAATGTTCCAAAAAAGTTAGAGAGAGTTTTAAGGCTCAATCCAGAGCCTACTACTGTGTCTGGATCTGTCACAGCAACTACCTGACTCACCACACATGCAGAATATCTCACATCAGTTATATAATTCCACAGGGTTTAACTAGTACTGTGGTACCTTCACTGAGATTACTAAACCTACATTGAAAAACTAGGAGTATATTTTTGAGGCCAAAGGAAATAAACTATATTCTATAGGCTCTGAAGAGAGATATTTGTAAAAGCATGTTCCTTCGATTAGCATATCTCAAACTGTATTTGTGGAATACTAGTGTTCTAAGAGAAACTAAGGCGCTATTTTATTTTATTTTATTTTTTTTTTCCTTTTTGTCTTTTTTCGTGACCGGCAACGGATCGCAACCCTCAGTGTCGCGCCCGCACCAGACCGGGACTGGCAACGGGATCGCAACCCTCGGTGTTGCGCCCGCACCTCGCTCAGCCAGTGAGCAGCCGGTCTGTATGTGGGATCCGAACCCTCCACGCCACCGGGCCGGCCCTAATGCGCTATTTTAAAATAAAAACATGTGGTGCCTGAGGTACCCCCAGAACTCAGTCTTCGGCTAGCCCTTTTCTGTTTACACACTCTCCCTGTGTGATTTCGTCAAGTCTCATTCCTTTAAATGCCATCTACAAGCCGATGACTCATAAATTTATATCTTCAGCCAGGACCTCTTCCCTCAACTCCAGACCTATAACATCTCAACTTGAATTTCTGCTACACATTTCAAAACTTCACATGTCCAAACTGAGCCCTTCTGATAGTCCCCTTAAAGCACCTCTTCCTAAAGTCTTCCCTGTCAGGTTAATGGCAATGACATTCTTCCACTGCTCAGGACAGAAGCCTTCCTGTTACCTTCAACTTTTCTCTTTCTCTCATACCCCATGTCTATTTCATCAGCAAATCCTGTTGGACCTAAATTCAAAGTATATCCAGAAACTGACCATTTCTCACCACCTTTGTTGCCACCACCCAGTCCATTTCTTTCCTGGATGATGGAATCGCCTCCTGGCTGGATTATCTGCTTTTGTCCTTCCCCAGTCTAGTCATCAAAGCAGCCACAGCAGGCAAATCTGGAGTCAGATCGTGTCATTCCTGCTCAAAACCCTCTATTGGCCACCATTTCACTAAGAGTGAAGCCAAGGTCTCTGAGACAACCACAAACCCTAGCATTAACCAGCTGCCCATCAGCTCCCTGACGTTACTTCCTACTCCTCTCTCCTGGTCTTCTCCATGCCCACCACTCTGGCCTCCACATCCCCTCAGACACACCAGGCACGCTCACCTCCAGTCCTCCACATGTGCTGTCCACTCTGAATGCAATGTCTGCACAGCCCCTTCCCTCACTTCCTTCAGATCTTTATTTAAAAGTCAGCTTCTCATCAGAGAGGTTCTCCCTAGCCACTCTAGTTAAAATTTCAACTCCCTTCTCTCCGTGGATACTTCTTATTCCTCTTTTCTGCTCTATTTTTCTTCCTTGTACGTATCACAGTCAAACACACTATATGTTTTACTTGGCTTTTTTTTTTTTTTTTATCTGCCTCCCTACTAGAATGTAAGCTCCCTGAAGGTAGAAATGTTCACCTATTTTGTCGGTGTTGTGACCCAAGTGACTGCAGGAGTGCCTGAAGAGAAAGCTTCAATAAATATTTGTTGAGTGAAGAATGGAGATTATTATTTCTGCTCTTCACAATAAGCTTTCCTAACTCCTTCTTAAAGTAGTAGGTTCTGCACATCCTACCAAGGCCCCATAAGTAGACAAAAAACCTAGTTATAGCCACTCTTTGTTAACTTCTCCCCTGACGAGAGTGGTCCAAAGGATGGTTGCATGACCCATCGAGGAACCAAACCCTTTTGAAAAAATCAATATTTGGATGAGTAAAAATCCACACTTTCCCTTTCACCTGATGTTATTCTCCATCATGTTGACAGGGCATGTCCACACTAGGAAAGAGTGAGGTAACCACCCAAAACAAAACCAACAGAAGCAGGAGAAAAAAATGCATGGAGAGAGAGATTGCTGAGTTCCCAGTCCCAGCCCCTGACATCCTGCAGCTTCTCCATTCTGTGTACTCACAAAGAATTCTTCCCAGTCACATAAGCCAC